ACAAGAAGTGTTACATGAGGCGGTAGTGCTCGAGTGTCCTGGTGGGGCACACACACAACACAGACTACAGATGTGAGCGCCCACTATACGGCTGAGCGAAACACACAGATAAACGACACAAGTTGTCTATAGTCAGCCACGTTAGCGCGCGCCAGGCGGAGTCACACACTCCTTGATACGCCTAAGCTCTGAAGCCGGCAAAGATCAACACCAGGACTTCTTGTTAAAAGTGTGCACATCCGGTCAGATGGCGGCAGCTGTCAAGACACAGTTACTGTCATATGCCCACCAACGTCGCCCTTAGAGCAGAAAGTAGAACCGGTTTTCTGACCGGAGAGTCGGTTACTGTAAGGCGAGTTTCTTCTGGGTTGACTGCAGCAGCACTAAGTATGCCCGGAGAAGGAAAATAGTTGGACGTTTTTGCATAGCAGAATTTGCCAGGACCTTAACCGTGACATTGTCTTCATTATATTGATATATCAGGGAGAGTGCCTCGCCCACTCACAAAATGAAACACATGTTTTGTGATGCTGGTGTAACTACAAAATAATGTAACCTTCATCAGGCCGCAAAGAGCCATTGCGATGCACAGACAGGTTGTGTTGGCACTTCTGGAGGGAAGATGACGGACTGAACATCCCCGGTGCACGGCATCAGTAACACCACGGGCTATCAGGTTGGCTCAGCCTGGCACCAAGTCGCTGAACAAAGAGGAAGGAATGGAAGCCACACCGATCAGCCTGATCACCGCTAAACACGGAGGTACGTCCATCCATTCTGATTAGGAGAGAAGCACTGCATGGTGAGTTTTCAAGGCGATTTCAAGACTTTAAAACAGTTGAGAGTGAAATGCACATGGTTTCTTCTCCCTTCACCTGCAGCGTGGATAATGCACCCAGTGATGTTCAGATGGAACTCATTGACCTGCAGTCTGACACTCTTCTGGCAGAGCGCTTTAGGTCAGTCTCACTGCTCGAGTTTTACTCTTCCCTCAAAGAGGAGAACTTTTCACACATGAGGAGGCATGCTCAGAAGATTCTAGTCCTCTTTGGATCTACCTACGTATGTGAACAGACATTGTCAGTGATGAAGTTCAACAAATCCAGATACAGATCCTCCATCACTGATGATCACCTCTCAGCTGTCCTTCGCATGTCCACCTCAGACATTCAGCCAGATTTCAGTGCACTTGTTCAAGCCTAAGGCAGACTGAATTTTTCCCACTGAACAAGTAAAATGAGCTGAAAAACATTAAAAGCACTTATTGCTTTTTGTATAAAGTTGACCAATTGCTTATCTTTAACATACTGCAAAACACCTTTTCAGTATTTGTGAAGATTAACATGTTAAAAATAAAATGAAACACTGATTTAAATATTGTTTTTACTGTTCATTACTTCTATAGGAGTATCTATAACTGTATTTTTTTATTATTATTTTATTTAATTTTTTATTACTATTCATCATATGTCATTATTATTATTATTGTCTTGATCATTATGACTATTTTCACCTTTTTATATGCTGTATAGCATGTGTTGTCTAATGGGTCGGGGTGGGGGGTCTTGTTTCTGTGTTTTGTATTATCTCTGCTTAAAAACAATCAAATGTGTTTAAAAAAACAAACAAACCCTGCACAGTCATTTTCTATTTTCTATTTTCAAATTTCTTCACATAAAAAAAAACACATTTTAGTTCTCACTCGCTGTTTGCCCACATTTAGTTTATTTTTACCACACCTATCCGCAAATTTATATATATTTTGGAGCTACTCACCTGCCCTCCGATGGTTATGTCCAAGAACACAATTGGGTTGTTGGGATTTGATGGTTGAACAGACATTGTGACGCTTTCCTTTGCTTTTCAATATAAAATAAATGTGCTATAAGACGATTACACAAGGATAATTAAAAGAGCGATAGTAAAGGCTAAATCCACCAGGGTGCCATCTGGTCATAATGCAGGTTTAGTTATAGTCAGAGCCATTAAGATGTACGCTAATGTTATAGTTAAAAAAGAAGTCCCCTCCCCACCTGCATCACTACCACTCCTCTTCAGATCTGATTCTTTTCCCTCCAAACCATACCAAGAAGAACAAAAAAAACCTACTAAAAGAGCCTATGTTAAGAAGAAAAGAGAGAAAATAAGGATTGTGGAATCCTCATGTATCATCCTCAATTAACACTGCTTTCATTTCTAATATGATCATTTTGGTTAAGCAGAGTTATCCACTCAATAAACTCCACATTTACATGGTCTACCACTGAGATTCTTCTCTAAGGTTCAGCCACACATCCTCACTGGATCAGACAATCCTCATCACACCCATAGAGAGAGTCCAATATGGTCCAAAGGGAGCACCAGCTGCAGTGAGGACAAGTCTCTCTTGGTGAGTTGTGATTCTACTCAATGCCTGTTCACATCACAAGTCAACCCTTATACTGAACTGACACACTATGTAAAACAATTGTGGAAAGTTAATACCATTTCCTTGATCACTAGGCCAAAGCAAGATAAGGAGGCCATGGACCTTTTGACTGCAAAGACCATACGAGTAAACACAGATGGAACTGATCGCTATGTAACTCCTTTGTTCAGAAAGAAAAGTGCATCTGAACTGAATGCCCCCTTTGAATCAGGTATGCCCCTTCTCCCCTCTTATCCTCTGGTGGATTTGAAATTAGGCAATGGGCAAGTAACTTTCCATCTGTTGTTGATCACCTACCATCAGCTGCCAGATCAGATAGTGCTGAGCTCTGGCTGAGTCAAAACTGGACAGATCCTGTAGAGGGTGCACTAGGGCTCAGCTAGCATTGTGTCTCTGATACCTTGGGTTTTAGACACAGACCTGTTTCCTGCCTAACTCTAACCATGAGAAATGTGTACAAAGTGCTGGCTTCACAATAGGACCCCTTAGGATATCATCATCCCATTCACTACTAGAGCCATAGTCCTGCTGCAGCAGCTCTGGGTGAACCTTCACCAGGTGGAATGATGGCAACAACCCTCATGTATCTGGCAAAGAAACAGACAGAGAATTACACATTTTATGGGATGTTTCAGAAAAAGCATATGGTTCAACTTAAAGCAACTGACTATACCCCGCTTGGAGTTATCAGCAGCACTGACTGGAGCCGAGCTGAGTAAACTGATCAAATCTGAAATGACGGTCCCCATTGACAGAACCTTTCTGTGGTCTGATTCTACTGTGGTACTAACAAGGCTTCACTCTGAGTCCTGCAGGTATAAAGTCTTTGTAGCCAACAGAATTGTGGAGATACTCGAACTAACCTTAGCCAATGAATGGAGATGTTTTATTGCACATGGAGGACGCCCTTATGAGCTGCTTTCTGACTGTGGCACCGACTTAAAAGGAGGAGACAGAGAGCTGAGAGGCGCATTTGCAGCCATGAATCCACACCTCAAGGAACAGCTAAGTGAATCCCAAATACAATTCCACTTTAACCCTCCAAATGCCCCTCACTTTGGAGGAATGTGGGAAAGGGAAATCAGATCCATTAAAGCTGCTCTCAGAGTGACAGTAGGAAGTCAAATCGTTTTTAATGAAGTCTTACACGCAGTACTAGTGGAGATAGATAATAAATCTCCCCCTCGTGGGGTGGTGGGATGCTTCCCTTCCACAGGCTCTCTATGCAGATACTAACTTGCTGGGACGGAGATGATGGAGGCACAGTCAAACACTAACCGATCGGTTTTGGTCCTGCTTCCTCAAAAACTACCTCCCCAACCTACAGATAGGGAATAATTGGCAAAAAGACGGAAGGAAGGAACAATCGTACTAATAATGGACCCCAACTGCCTAGAGGTCTATGGCCTGTAGTAAAAGTGTCATGCGATTCTCTGTTAAGAAGAAAAGAGAGAAAGGCTGCATTGTGGATACATTAATGATAAAGAAAATCATCCACATCCACCGAACACCTGTTCAAACTATAACCTACCCACCCACTGAAATAAACTGTTGAAACAGATTTCTGCACCGTTTAAATGTGCACACCACCTCATGTAGCTTTGTATTTACGCTGTTGCACTGCACTTGTAAAGCCGGTCATTTTTTATTGCAGTACAATACCGATACCTGTCCATAAGCCCCAGACAAAAGCCTGGACTGTTAACTGGAGTCATTCAGCCAGTTCATAATAGTAACCTGGCTTTACATTATACTCTTTATATAGCACTTTCCAAAATACAATCATAAAACCTTTTCAACTATCCTTTCCAATAAGTAACCAATGTTTGAGCAGATCCCATCTACTTTCAGTTCATTCACACAGACCATGGTATGAACAGAATTAGGATATAGCACTTCTTCTAGTGTTGGACGTTGTATCACTCTTTCAACCAATGCACTCTCTACATCCAAACAGCCCCACCAGCTAACACACAAATATAACATCTAACAGACACAAATGTTTTTGGTAAGGATTTTATTTTCACAATTTACAATTTAACATAATGCAAAGGTGGCTCCACAAAAAATAACAAATGGCAACTACAAAGATGTGTCAGAGCTGAACTAAAGCACCATGATTCAAAACAAAAAAAAAAAAAAAAGCAATAAAGGTGTCAACAGACACAGAAGTGGGTCAGCAGGGAGCTAAAACTAGCAAAAGACAAAAGCCTTAAAGAAAGAGTTCTATGTAAAGTAATATGGTTTCTTGACATTGACGCCATATTCTGTAAGAGCAGGACTCAGGTCCTCCATAGTCAGAGTGTACTTCTTATCCTATATAGAGAGAAGGAAAAATAGTGTTAATTATCAGCACTGTCAACATATTGTATGGAGTGCATATTGTGTACATTTAAAGCAAGCGTTGACAGAAACACTGACCTTTGTCTTACTCCTTGAGCTTCCTGAGGCAGTTCCCTTCATTTTACAGTACTGCAGTGCGTCATTGGCAATGTCGGAGATAAACTTCTGAGAAGCAAGGGAGATCAGACGGATTCTAAAGAAATGAAAAAGAAAACACACAGCAAAGGGTCACATCATCTCAGATCTTTATTCATTTTAAAAAATGATTTTACATCATGCTTTTAACCAAAGGGTTACAATGAGACACCCCAGTAATGGCAACTTTAGTAGTATTTGAGTATACTTCATAGAGTCAGTCAATGTAACACTTACATTCTTGGATCAGAGGCCTCAAAGCCAGCCCGGTTGAGGTAGTATCCTGTAACTGCATCAGGAATCTGAAGGGAAAAAAGAAAAAATGAAAAGAGGCGACTTTAGCTTGAGGTCAAGATCCACAGAGCTCGATTTCACTGCTACAGACACTGTTTGTAAAGAACAGTGTTACTTTATGTCTGGTGATGATCAGCTAAATAAACTGTGACAAGAACACAGCCTCTGACCACTGAAGGAAATTATTAGCATTGTCTGAGGAGGACAGTGGTTGGTAGATAACATAATTAGATCTTCATCCAGGGCAAGGGGATATGAAGTTATCATGAATGTCAACTGAATACTGTCAAATATTTTACAATATCATTATACTGCTTGTACTGAGACAAATTATTCTGCAAGGCTGCTTTATCACAATATTGGATCAAAGGAGTCTTGCGTTAATGTGATTACCCTGAGTACCGAGGTTTTTCAGTTATTTAATTCACTGGAGAAACAGACATACTGTGTCCATTTGGATATGTACAACAAGTTTCTTGACTGAATTACAATTTAATTTTTAAGTTAACACGGCTGGCAGACGAGACAAACTTGCCCAGCTGTTAACCAGAATGAAGTTGTTAATAACTTCAACGTGTTTACAATCTCTGGACTTTCTGATAGAGTGCAGCATACAGTGTGACTGGCAGAACTCACTGTGGGAGTGTACTCTTCCAGCTGCATGAGAAAATCTGCCAAGGGTGTGGTGGAGAGGGCAGGCTTTACATCTCCATTGGTGATGCCACCAGGAACATAGACACCGTTGGAGACAGATGTGTCTGCTGATGGTGTCACCATGGCCGCTGAGGATGAAGCTGTAATACAAGTGCATGGGATTACTTTAATGATATACTCATCTGCTGCGATTCACAAATAATGAGATGGTACAGTTCTTACTCATAGGGAAAGAGGTGTTTGCACTAAGACTGTGCAAAGTCCAAACCCTGTTAAAATGACTCTCTTCTCACATGATGATGCACGAACAATGCTTAACGCACTTGCATATTTATTGTGACAGACAAACAAATCATCCATCATCAGTAGGACGAGCTGGCGATCCTACCTGGAACTAAGTGTTGAGCACAATAACATTAGCCAAAGTCCCATAACCTTACCATTACTAGTGACCGAAGGGATGCTGCTGACGCTGGTTGTTGCATTATCATTCGCAATACAGTTGCTTGAAGTTGAAGACGTCGTGGATGACACTCCAGTTGTGACTGACTGGTTAACGTTGTCAATATTCATGTTAATGTTAGCTAACGCGCTAACCTTGGCTAGCTAGCTCAGAGAAATGTCCAAATATGCCCCAAAGCGCGAGCCCCGTGTTGTACAGCTCCCAGAACACACTTCTACAGAATACTGTTTTGTGAAGTAATACTACTTTTGTAACTCAGCCGGTGTTAAAGTCACAGATCAGGCGTTAGTTAGCATCAGAAATATGTGTCGTTAGAAAGCTGAACTCACGCTGCAGAGCTAATCGCGTCATGTGACGATGGCTGTACGTACGAAGATCGGAACCGACGGAAGTTCCCGAACATTTCCGAAGACCCTCTTAATGATTTGTAGTAGACGAACTTCGTTTGTCATTTGTTTGTTGGGTTGTAGTATATTTGTTTTAGTTGTGTCGGCAGCGGACG